CCCTTCACCAGGAAAAACAACACACTTATGACCGTGCCTAAGGGAATAATCTACACAGATGCATGGAAAAAAAAACAGTCTAACAATGGAAGGAGTTTGTGACTATTTTAATTCTAAATAAGATGCTGAGAGGTGTATTTATTTGTCGAGGTAATATTAGAAACACATTTATCTTGTGCATTTACATGATTTTATCTGATAAACTCAAAGCCGTTAGAATATTTACTTTGCTGCTATTTCTGTATTATCCAGCACTTTAGTAAATCTTAATGAGTAATTGCTAAACTCTGCTACTTTGACAAGAGCTGTCTCAACCCAACGGCCTCTGTTTTGACCTTCGACCTCTGATGAGAAGAACATGTGACTGATCAAAACCTTGGTGAAAGCTGATATGCACGAATGCACAACGCCGGCTGATACCCAATATCCATCAGCTGTCGATGACCCCGCAGCCCACACAGGAAATCCTGATTAAGTCAAAATCTTAAAAGCGAGGGGACAAGGAAAGGTCACAGAGTGTTTGGAAGAGGTATCCCATCAAAGCAGCTCCTTACGCAACAAACGAAAACATCCATCACAGAGTGAGTTTGGGACATCCACTGCATCCTGCCTGTCCCGCCACAAATGCCGGAGTGAGGAGAGATCATGTAGGCCCATAAATCAGAGCAGAGCAGAGAGGGAACAACTGTTTCCAGCTCACACACAAATACCTCTCGCTCCTTCCAACACCCCTTAGGCGGCCATCAATACCGCCCCAGCCCGACGGCTCCCATCCCGGGCCGAGGGGGCTCACTGTCAACGCCTGAGAAAACACACACATCTGCACAGCTGTAAATACCCTCTAATATAGACCTAGAAACACCTCTATGCTCTGACATCTCAATTCCGCTCTCATCTCTTTTTTTGTCCACTTCCTCTATACTCTCCCTGTCAAGGTGTTTGATATCCTCATCGTGGGGCGGCGTTGTGAACGTTTTCTAAAAGGACAGTGTTTATCGGGGAGAAATACTTTGCTTTAAACTCTCGCACCTGGGCGCGCAAATATGTGCTCACGGGTGTTAAGATAATAGATGCGAACAGAATGACAGATCTGGGTCAAGAGATATTCCAGCAATCTGTGTGGTGATTTGTGTGTGCCGACCAACAGCAGACAGTGACATTTACACTTCTGGTAATTGTTTCTACATATTTTGAAGTTTGAGCTGCACTTTGAAATCAATATAATAATGTGCATCTGTCCCACCAAATATGCACCAGGATTAAAAATATGTATATATATTTTGCAACTTTGTGTTTATTGGGCAATCCAAACATAGTTAATTTATCCAAACATAGTTCATTTCTTACATCATTGTTCTTTTTTTTTATAATGTTATACAAAACAATAATAGAATGCAGAAGAAGAAGACAAATGGTTATAATAATATCTTAGTTTGCCCATTTTTTTGTAATTAGAATATTTTTTAATTTGATATTTCAATGATAAGACTCCATTATGCATTGTCATATCAGGCATCTATGTGCAGGCAAAAAAGCTCAATCTACAGGCTCTGGTAGATTGCAGTATATATCTTTCCACAACTAGTGCAATACATTTTAAGGAAATTGATGATGAATTATTGGTATTGTCAGCAATGACAAGTTATTTAATCAGAGCATCTATTCCACCTATAAGCATCTGACCACAGTCCCATGCTCTGTATCTGATCTTGATAAGGCTTTGTGGGTCACTGGACACAGGAAAAAACAGAGACAGTGAATAAGGAGTATCCTGTGTGCATTTGCCTTTGTCTATGTGCGAGTCTCCTGTAAGGACTCGACAGGGGGCCTCAGCAGACTCGCCTGCTCATTACACCGATCACATCAGATTAAGCACTTTCCTTCTGCAAAAATCTGATTTGTTTCCACGAATTCTTGTCTCCTTTGTCTGAAGCCCGCTGTGTCTGTGTGCTTGTCTATCGCAGCAAGTCATCTTTACTCACCGGTTCACCTCCTGAAAATGTAGAGGTCAATAAACTCTGAGCACAGTGGAGTCCTGGGTGCTTGTCTAGCAAACAACTATAGTCTTCTGGGTGCAGCTTATGAGGAGGCCAAAAAAAAATCAAACATTTATGTTGGAATGGAATCAAAGCAGGATGCACATTTCTGGAAAAATAACCCATAGGAGGGATCATAATAATGGTAATAATCTTGTTATCCTGCAACCAAAAATAACAAATAGCGAAACTTATAACTGAGTTATTTTCTTCTAAATGCCTCATAACTCGCATTACAGTCTGGTACAAGCAAAAATTACTAAGTCATGTTATTAACCGGATGGAAACGTGTTGATTTCAGTCAGGCCACACATTTTGTATATGGGAGATGCTGTACTTTTTTTTTTAAGCTCAAAGATAACAATATTAACACAAACTTTTTTATAGGATATATAGATATTTTGAGTCCGATTTATAATGGACGAGCAGGCTGTCTTAAAAAAAAACCTGTTGTGGCTCTTTCTTTCCTTGCTGTTTCCCTTTTGGGGAGATGTAGTTTGTTCTATGCAGCTGACTGATAAATAAACTATAGACAAGAAGGAAGTGCCTGAAATATTTATTGTCTTTGTTACAAGAAACAGGAAAAAAATCACAGCGGAGAGAGACAAAGTGGGAGACGCGGAAGTTGTTTGTATGTCCAGCTGTTTAAAATAAAGAGACTTTATATAGTGTGAGCCATTCTGTAATCCATGAGGCTGTAAAATGGCAGGCATTTCATCATTAAGACTGCAAGAGCTGTCTGATTTGGATACAAGAGACATATAAGATCTGTATCTGAATTAAAAGGCTTTTAAGGAATCTGAACTTTCTCTAAATGTTAACATATATGTTTGTGAAATGTGCACCACTTGCATTCTGCATGATGTTACTGACGTTATAGTGTTGGTCTGTAACTGGTTTTAAGTTGATCTATTTTAAGGTGAATAATACTTCACACTCATGCTACATAAGATGCTGATAACTTTACAGCCTCACAAGTTTACTCTGAGAAAATCACAAGTTTTCTTAGAGGAGAAACTTCTATATTTTTAATGGTTACCCTTTAGGATGGCAACTTTCCACACACACACACACACACACACACAGCAGACCAGCTGGCCCTGAATCATTCTGACATCTGCATACAGTGTGCAGGGAGTTGAGTTTCTAAATCAGGAGAGGCTCAGCTGATCTAACCCTAACCCACTCCCAACGTGTCTGCTGCGTACTTGAGACAGCCTGTACCTGCACTATGACCGTATTAAATTCTCTGTAGATTAGATTCAATCTCTTCACAGAATGAAAGGTACTTTCAGGGGAAACAGAGGCTCCAAGACACATTTATTTAAATAACTTTTTCAAAAACAGCAATAGAGCAAACATCTAAAAAAAAAACTACAGTACATAGGAGGAAACATTTGTACAAAAATATGTCACTGTGTTAGTACAAAACATCATACATGATTATCATCTTAGTTATACAGATCAGTAATAAGACTAAAGTGAGCATGCTGTATCTCCTGTACAGGTTATAACAATATTTACAGTCATTCAACATGAACGCATTCTTATCCCCCGCAAGTAAACGCCTACCCAACTCAACCAATTAAAACCCTTCAACTTCCACACTAAGAAATCCATTTGTAAAAAAATGATTTGTTGGTAAAATTGTGTTCCTTTCCTCTTCATTAAAGGCTTTATATGGGATTTTTTGATCCAGCAGATGTCGCTCTTGAGCACCAGCATGAAACCAAAACAACTCGTGCAGCATTGTTGTGTTAGCATGCTAATGCTAGCGATCTTTATTATGCTGGTATCTTCACACTGCATGTAAATTTACCTGAAATGAGCGTGATCTAGAAACACAGTTAAGCAGTGAGTACAGTATGTTATTCTTCTTTTCTCTAGTCCCTCAATTAAACAACTTTTATACACGAGGGGAGGAGTCAGCGGGCCGTCCAGGCGATGTAAACAAACTGAAGCTAGGACTCTGAAAACTCTGAAAGCATCACAGACAGTGGGACTCGGGTGTTACACCCATTGTAGACAGTCATGACTCACAGAGTTATTTTCAGAGGATATACTTGATTTCTATTATATTTAAGTGTGAAAAATCACATATAAAGACTTTAAGCAACTTTTCAGGTTATATTTTTCAGATTATCAGGAAGCAGATATGCAGGTCAACCAGCTGGTTGCCTGTTCAGGGTTACTTTGGACATGAATGGATTTCTTTCATTTCTGCAACAAAATGTTTAGTTTTTTTCATGTATAAACATCACAGAGAGTAGAACTTGTTAAAATAACCTAAAATAATTTATTTAACAAATTGAATGAGTAGCAATGGTTAGAAAAGGTGAACAAAATAAGAAATGAGCGACTTGAGTCAGGCCGTTTGCGTAGACTGGCAACTCAACCGAGCGGTCAACCAAGTTTTCTGAGGAATCGTAGATATATATTTTATTGTCAAATTTATTTCCTTCAACTAAAATATGATTGTTAGAGGGTCTACAAATGATGTGTGAAAAGATTTTCTTTTTTTTTTTACCCGGACGTTTGCTCTTGTTCTGTGAGATTTCTGAGGAGCTGTGCAGTGCAGAGTCACTCCCGGTATTTTCCACAGTTTTAAGACAATGATCATTATGTACAGCAGCGCCACCCATTGGACATAATCAGGGTTACATACACTATTCAATGAGGTCAATGAGAATAAACAGCCAAAGAGTTTTAAATACAGCAATATGGCGGCGGAAAAAAAGGTCAACTGCGCGGTTACAATGCAAGTCAAAGTTAAACCATATGTTTCAACTGAATCTACGAATCACCTCTATAAACCAAGCATGTGTGTACTAAAACTTTGCAAGTAAAAACTTTAGAAAAGAGCAGTCATGTTCCTGTTGCAGTCCTTCATCTGACCAGCTTATCTTCAACAGCAGACCAGCTTAGAAAAAGTCAATATATGATTTAAATAATTGTACACGACCCCATTAAACTCAATTATCAAGTACGCAAACAATACTATTATTTTGAAGCTGTGATATTTTAGTTTAGTTTGGCCCTTTGTGGCTTTTTCTAGCTCATGAATTGATTTGTCGTTGCAATGTCGTAGCCATGTAACACAACTGCTTCATTAGTGAGTTATGAAGAGCGAACCCTAAATGTTTCATTCACTCCTCTGCCGTCCTCACCGCCCTTTCTTGCTTTTCCACGTTATCCTTCCTCTCCCGGTGGTGTCTCCTGTTCCTGCTCTTCTTCATGTCCTGAATGTGTTTCCACTTGCCCACTCCTAAACCTTTTCCCCGCACCCTGGACGGCCTCTTCTCCAGCCAGAGCGAGTCGCAGTACTCCTCCAGAGTGCCGACGGGAGCGCTCATCGCCCTCAGGTAATCTTTGTAACGCTGGCGGGACTCGGCTCCGTGACGCAGCTCCACCGCGGGGTCCTCGCTGGGCTTGGGCCTGCCGTCCAGCTGTCCGTGCGTGACGAGTTGCAGCGTGAGGCGGAGGAGGGTGTGCGTGAAGTCCGAGTGCTCTTGAGCCATGCAGACGTACGCGCCGGCATCAGAGGGGTGAAGGGAACGGATGAGGAGACCTCGCGCTGTGTGCACCACACGATCATCCAGCCGTACCTTTGGAGACAAAAAGACGCCGCTTAAACACACAGGTCATGGCACATTCCCACACCTATACAAACTATATCATTAGATATATTCCTTTCTAAAATTGTCCTTGCAATTTTTTTTAAATTACAAAAAAACTAAAATACTTATCATCAGAATCAGAATCAGCTTTATTGGCCAGGTATGCTTAAAGGGGCTATATGTAACTTTCAAAAATACTGCGTTTTTGTGATACCGCATGGCCGTTAGGCAAACTGCACCAGTAACCTGTTGCTCGCTTTCCCTCGCGTGCTCGTCGTACTTACACAAACGAGCATCATCATCGGCCGCAAAACACTGGATATTTAACGGCATAATGTTTACAGAGGAGGTAAGTGGTCATACACGTGTGAAAGTCTGTGAAGGAGTCTGTGTGTCTGTATTCATTCTTCCTTTCGCGGAAAATACGACCCGGGGAAAATTTTTATACAGGCAACACAGATAGACAGTGAACATCTACTTTTTCACATCAGTTAATCGTTCGCTTATTAATGGGCGATAAAAAACGATTTATAAATGTAAAAAGTTACATACAGCCCCTTTAAACACACAAGGAATAACTTTGGTAAACTGTGCTCTCTTTGTACAAAGGTATAACATTAAAATATCAACAATAAACACAAAAATAAAGAAATAAGCAAAGACTAATATGCACAAGGCTAAATAGGATAATATAAGATAATAGTGCAGTGCTGAGCAGTGCTAAGTGTCTGATGCATGTTTCACTCTTAACCTAAAACAATCAAAAGGAATGACAGCACATAACAAAACACCGCCATGATGATACCTGTCACCTTGTTCACACACACACATTCCCACGCCTTATTGTATCCAGAGGTGTGTTAAACACGGTAATGACCCCTGAAACAGGAAACACATTGACGTTGGGTGTGGTGAGAGTCAAACCACAATGTGGGGGGGACAAAGGACCAAGAGTCATGTGGTGTGAAGAGAATTTAAGATACGTGATGAGTGTGAGCCGTCAGCAAAGGCCAAAGATTGTTCTGTCTTGTGTGTGTGTGTGTGTGTGTGTGTGTGTGTGTGTGTGTGTGTGTGTGTGCGTGTGTGTGTGTCCATGTGCTTGTCATTAAGGTCGTGAGTAGCATGCTAATGTTTACGGTCCCCTCTTTTCATTTAAGCATCCAGCGTGATTCATCAGGTGTCATGGCGGCTCTCAGGGCCTAAAACAACACAGCTGTGTTAAGAGGACAGAGAAAGAGTGTAAGTGTGTGTGTGTGTCCTCTGCGTGTGTCTCCATGCATGTGGGGATGCTTCAAAAGATTACCTCCAACAGCTCTGCTCCGACCCCCCCCCCCCCAGGGGTACAAGAAAGCAAGAGAAGGAGGGCCAAGCACAAACTTTATGCAGGAAACCAGTGACACTAGCCTGTGTGTGTGTGTGTATGCTACATTATGTGCTTTTTTTGTGCACACTTGTGAGGGTGCATGTGTAGCTCTGTGGTTGTTTTTTAAGCCTGACACTGATGATGTGGCAGAACCAGAGGCTGCTCAGATTTTTTAGACCTCGGCCTTTACCCATTTCAGCCTTTACCAGTCCGTCTCCTATCACATTCTCATTTCCATGACACACCTCACTGCCCCGACTAAACACATGGGATTCATATTCAAATCATAAAAAAAAAAAAAAAAAATCTCCCTGCTGCAGTGGCTCGGATTATGTTGAGCAATTTATTGTTCAAACATAAAAACATTTGTTGTTGTTATTCAGTATTTATTATTTGGTTAATTGTGTGCCTTTGAGGCTGACTTCTCTATAATAAAGGTGTCTGTGACTAAAAGGCCAATGCCAGACATTAAAACTCACGCAGATGGTCTGTCTTTTATTCTCCTGCAAAGAATTTTCAAAACATATTTTTCCTGGAGTAGTTGCGTTAAGAAGTGACACTTGGGGTGCATATTTCTGTGTGTGAACAAGCGTGCCTTCACGTGGAGAAGCACAATGAAACACAGCTTTTTTTTATAGTCTATTGAGTTATTAAATAAAGTGGTATCAGGTTAAGAAGGCCGTGCTTTTGGATGAATGTTACCATAATCCATTCTTTTCTGATTACAAACTTTTCTTATGGGGCCAGCATTCCACACTCTGGGAGGGGGGGGATACACACAGAGACACAAACATGCTGTGAGGGAGACAGTAAAAATCTCTTTCCAGTTCACATCTTTGACAGCTGACTTTCTTTTTTGTTTTACAAGAGGAGAAGAGGAGGGAGTGTGAGGGAGGATGATGAGTGTTTTTGTTGTGTTCGGGCTGCAGGTGCTGCGAGCATCTGGCGGAGGACGCCTTGATCAAAACTCATCAGGAGGCAAAAAAAAAAAAAAAGTGTGGAGAGAAATGCATAAGGGGAGAGGCTGTGGGAGACAACAGGAGAAAAAAGCACAAGATAGATGGATTGGAGGAGCATGATGGCAGGAATTAAGTGAGGAGAGATTAAGGTGGGGGGATAAAGGGCAGAGGAGAAAAGGGGGGATGACAGACAAAAAAAGGAACCAGAGCAGGCAAAGGAGGTGAGAGGTAGATATGAGCCAGACATTTCACACATCACCTGATCCAACACCACACACATCCAGCTGTGAGAGCACATAGACCACCTACTTCTACAACAGTGACACCCTACTTCCACAGAATACAAGATATAACATAAATCACTGACAATTTGTTTATGACATGCAATCATTACTGTGAGGATTTCTCAAATAAGTTCTTCTACAATCTCTGTTTTCTTTGCTTATAGTTGAAAACTTTGGGTGTTGAAGGAGAGAAAACATTGACTCGAGCTAAAAAGCACAAAATCAATTAGAAAGTGAGTCAATGTCCTGAAGTGAGGCAATAGTTGATAATGAAAAAAAGGCAGATTGCATACATTTCTTTGGATATCTTTAGAGCAGCCAGGCTCAGACAGAGACACTGAAGAATTAGGTCATAACGTATCTCCTCCAATCTTTGACCTCAAACTCAATGTGGATTCACTTGACCTCCTTTTACTTCCGTGTTGACTTACAGCAGCATTGCTAATGTTCGGCCCGAGACAACAATCAACAATCATGTGCTTATGTGAACCCACATGAGAAGACGTTCTTCTTTCACAGCTTTCCAAGCCTTCACGGTATTATGTAATCAAATTTATCCATTTGAACTCTTTCCCTTTTAATCTGATCCTTATTGTCGTCTGTGGCCTATTAAATGGTCATTTATTTGGCCCTCATGCATGAAGTTAAAGGCTGTTAAATAAATCATGAACCTGAGTTACCTAGATTCCCCCTCACAAACATTGAAGGATTCATGATTAACTTTTTGTATATTTAGATTTAAGGGCATCCTTTGACCCTATTTTACAGTTTCACATCATGATGGACCAACTTCGGTCATCAAGTCATTTATAATTTTATAATCATTAAACTAAAATGCATCACAAAAAGCTACTGAAGCTGCCGTGGATCAATCGTTCTATGCACTTTGATTTCTTCACCTTCTGTATCTATCACATATTGAATCCTGAGGCAGGAAGAACGCCTGTGTTCACTCCTTCATCACTTTGTCTTTGAGTACAAGAGGTCACATGTCATCGCACGGCTACACACACAAACACAGAAAAACACCCCATTGTGTTCATTACCCCGAAAACACATGGCTGTCCCCAGGGAGCGCTCTGCTATGATTTCTGCTGAGGTGGGACCATAAAGGGAACACGCACATGGACACACTCTGAGGGGGAAAACTGCAGCACGGGGCCCATAAAAGGAACACATGGGTCTTAGGGTGACCTCTGCACCTGTCAGTGTGTTTACAGTCACCCCTGAGAGGACAGGGCGAGCAGTTGTGGGCGTAAATAAGTGTTGTGGGAAGTTGGAAACAAACTTGCAATGGGGGTGAGGAGAGTTCGGATGTTTAGATAAAGGGGGGTGGGGGGTGGGGGGGGGGGGACGCTGAGGTGCTGAGTAAGCAGGTCTCTGTTGTCTCATTCAGGAGACGAATGTCATCATCAATGAGTTTCCTTCAACACCTCGAACACAAACACATTAAGCTCGCCAAAACGACATTGTGTGTCCTTTTGTGTCCACCATCCCCTCTCCAAGGATCCCACTTTGAAATGGGACAAAATATCCCATTCAATGACAATTAGCAACAATTCACTTCAATTAAATACAAATTTTATTTTGTCGGATGTTTTGGGGGGAAAAAAATCAACACTGAGATTTGTTTTAATTTGGTGCCACAGCTTGAAATATACTTTGAATATACCCTTTAAAGGGCTTCTTTCTGCACCCTCACATACGCTGGTCTGTCACTTGTTTAATAATATTATTTATGGAATCTGTAGTTCCCCTTGGACGATCACTGACTACGTTTACATGCTCAACATTTTCCTATTAAGGTCCATATTCTGGTTTAGGCAATATTCCGAAAAAGGTGTTTACATGCTCCGCAGAGTGCTGAGCTACTGGAATATTCCCGTTTACATGTTCAATCAGCATATTCCGAATAAACCGTCATCGTAGTAGTAGTAGTAGCATCATGACAAGACGTCATCTAGGGGCGTTCTTTTCACACACAAGTTGCTTGCTTTTGTGCTATACTGTGTAATATTCTTACCACTTCTCCATCAAAGTGTGACTGGAACACTCGTTCTCATTCACCTCCTCAACCGTGGCCGACGAGAACGCGAGGAAATGGTAAACGGAGCTGTACGCGTTACGCCATGGATACATACCAGAGCCCCGCGGAGACTATGGATGGAAGTTCACAGCCAGGACTGGTGGGAGCGAGTAGGAGTAGTAGAAGCAGTAAATTTGTCTCCTCCTCGCCCCAAAAGTGTAAAGTCTTTTGCGTGTTTCTCGCCATGTTGAACATGCGCAGAAGTAAACAAATCCTTGAAGTAGCATATTCAGGAGCATATTCCAACTGAAGAGTTTACATGACCCAATATTCAGGTTGATACAGGCATACACCAGGGGTCTTACTCGGGTTTTTAATAATCGGAAAATGGGCTTAGTCGGGTTATGACAATTGGAATAAGGTGTTTACATGACTCCTACGCAATCAGAATATTGTAATTATTACGATTAATACAGGAATATGGTGTGCATGTAAACATAGTCATTGTCACTTAGCCACTGAAGTCAGTTGGCTACTTGATGAAAAAGAAAGAGAGAAAAGGGGGAAAAGTTCACAGTTCAAAAACCATTTTTCACTTGAGATGGATTATATCACATCCCTGTCCTCCCCTCTGGTGGAGTTATTTGTCATCTTTTTCAATGAGCGAGGAGCTGCTGCTGCAGAAGAGTTTGCAAAGAACCAGGACACCTATGCACTTCAAAAAAATACATTTGTAATAACTGATGAGACCCTGGACTGTGATTTGTGGCAGGACAGTTGCTGATGGGGTTCAGGGCTCAGACACCACGGAGGGCGAGGTCAATGTCAAGCATGAGATTTTTAATATGCTTTGAAGCTCTTATGTAAGTTGCTGCAGTAGACCAACACCTGTCTTTGCCTCTGTCACTTCCCTGTCTTCTGAACCTTACAGGAAAAAATGTAACCTCTCGGGTACATTTAACTGAAGAAAGGCAAAACACGGTTCACCTTCAGGCTGTAGAGAGAGAGTGGGAAAAAAGAAAGAGAAAGTGTTTTTTTTTTGGGCGTGTGGGTGAGTGCACTCGCTGACCTCCTCCAAGCGTTCAGATCCAGGTCTCTGTTTGTACCAGCGGATCCGGGCCTGTTGAGATTTGGGGATGCACTCTAGGAAGGTGGAGTTGCTCTGTACCCCATACAGGACTCTTTGTTCCTCCTTTCCTCCAACAAGACCTAAAGGAAACACAACTTTGATTGATCCTAGAGTCACTTGTCACTTGCTTCTAAAACAGAAAATAAAATGCAGGATTACTCCGATGGCTGATCGAAGTATCTGCAAAGGCATAAACATTCTACTTCAGACAGAAAGAGGTAGAGAACTAAGTCTACATACTGTCCTCTGTGTCCCAGCAGTGACTGGCAGGGTCTCCGTGCTTGATGTCCTGCCTTCTGGCTCGCCTGGAGAACAAACACAGACAAAAACGAATCACATAGACTGTGTGTTTTTACCTGCAGTGTGACAGTTTCACAACCTCAGCTCCCACATTAAAGGGGATAATAAGACGACTCGATAAAAACACACTTAATACTTATGAACTTCTTTTACCAAAATTTGAGAAATTTAAATAAATATTGCTGAGTGATAAAAAACAATTGGTTGATAAAATTGGCATTCATTTTCTTCCAAGTATCAGAACATCACAGATCAGTCACACAAACATGTGATATCAGTGATATCCTTTTTATTTTGTCTCTTACATGAAAGCTTCAACCGGTTTATAATAAACCAAATAAACATCATTATTGGTTTAATCTCACATCAGGAATTCCATATAATGTACACCCAGATCAGGTAGGAAAACATGAAATTAACAATATTTACACATTCAAATAAATTCAAATTTATTGATTTTCCATTTAATGTTTTGAATACTACAAAAGAGACGCATCTAAAATATCATCAAGCTTAAAAGAGGCTCTCACTGTTAAGCTAGAAAACGTTTTTTTAAATCCCAAATGTGCATAAAACTGAAAAAAGGAACGCTTGCAAACATGTGAAAAAGTTGCAACAATTATTCACAATCACTCCAGATGTGATTTAAGATGACCTCTGAATACTCCTAACCCTCAGTTCCTTCTCCTCTTTGACACGTATTAAACTTTACTGTTCAACCTTTAAAAACTACAAAACTACATCATACTGAAGATAACTGGATCTTCAGTAACTCACCAAACATTTTTAGAAAAATGCCCTAACTGTTTTGTTTACGGTTAACAGAGTTGCATTTGCCTCTAGCTTGTTGTTGTTGCTCACGTTGGCTGCTTGTATTTGTATTGATTCACCTCCTCTGCCTCCTGTCATGCCCGTGTGATGGGACATCTGCAGCCTACACGCACTGACACTGTGAAGATCAGCTGTCAAAGAGCCATGGAGAGAAAATAAAGGCCTCCTCTATTCCACAAACTATAACAGCTTCCCTACTGGACAATAATGTGGCAGTGTGACCTCACACTGTGGGGTATACATTCTGAAGGGCCCTGATTTGTACAAGCTAGCACGCTACGCAACGGGGAAATACACAGACACACATGAACTTTATGTAACTTTAATCAGATACAGAAGAAATCTATGCCTCTAATGAACTCATACACTGAAGAAAAAAAATGATGTAAAGAACCATCAAAAAACAATTTCTGAAATGTGAACTCCTATAGACAGTGCACAGAATTAAAGAACCTGCCAAGTTAAGAAACACACAAACATACACACACCCAATTTATGAGTACATGAGTCATTTTCCTGTCTTTCTTAATTTAATGAAAACTATCTAGACTAGAGAAGTCAGCATTAGTTTAGTTTAGTTTTAACAGCTATTCTTCCTCACAACAGATTGTATATCGTGACAATGCAAAAAAGCATCAACTAAAAACATCAACTAGTTAATCATGATCGTGGTTAAGTTAATGTCATAACCTTCGGTCCTTACTTTATTTCAAAATAAAAGCTGGGTTGAATTCAAAGAGCATGTAAAGTACTCTAAGCTAAATACAGTACAAAATGTCAAAATAAAAGCATAATTATTTGTATTTTTAAATGGGAAATTATGGAATTTCAAACATGTGAATCAAAATGAAATTAGTCGGGATAACAAAACAAATCGTTTCACAGCACTAATTTAAACACATGTATTTAGTTAAAGGCTTTATATGCGATTTTTTGATCCAGCAGATGTCGCCCTTGAGCACCAGCATGAAACCAAAACAACTCGCGCTGCATTGTTGTGTTAGCATGCTAATGCTAACACAACAATGTTAGCAGTACAGTATGTTATTCTTCTTTTCTCTAGTCCCTCAATTAAACAACTTTTATACACGAGGGGAGGAGTCAGCCGGCCGTCCCGGCGATGTAAACAAAGTGAAGATAGGACTCTGAAAACTGTGAAAACATCACAGACAGTGGGACTCGGGTGTTACACCCATTGTAGACAGTCATGACTCACAGAGTTATTTTCAGAGGATAGACTTGACTTATATTATATTTAAGTGTGAAAAATCACATAAAAAGACTTTAATTGCTTTTAATCATTCAATGTGTTTTCCATAAATGACACTGACACAAGCGTGTGCATGTGAAATCATGTATATCCTAAGAGTGTAGCTTTTACCTTTTCGATGCAGGGATGTATCGTGAGCACGTGTTTCCATCCCAGGCGCAGTAAGGATCACGTGCCAGGCAGCATTCAGCGCAGGCCTGACCGTACAGGTGACATCTACTGAGTGACACCTGGGCAAGACCTTCACTTGAACCCACGTAGAGCTGTTGCTAGAGTGAAACACACACCACAATCTGCTTTAGGGAAGGTGCACATGCTGATCAGCTTTAAGGTCAGGTTCACCCTCCATGATGTAAATACATTGGGTTATTAGTGGGACAGTATCTAAAGGGAAAGTAAAGCACTAGAGGCAGTCCATAAAATTTGTTTATAAAGTTTGTTATAAGAGAAAATAAAAGATTTTGGTTGTGATGTTACACTTATTATTTGTATTTATTAAAACTTCCTCAAGGTTCCTACTGCAAAAGAACAATCGGGCTAAAGCCAATATGTGATTTTAGGATTCCTCATTGTAAGGATTTCTTTTTTTACAAACATGACCCAAAGGATCTCCTCCGACTCATCTAGAATCAAACAGATCCCTAAACAGAACTTAAAACACTTGCCTGCATTCACATACAGACATTCTCACACACATACACACATACACAGGTCAAACTTTGTGGAAGATTAATGGAAGCTGTGATTGGGCTGAAGTGTCTACTGACACCACTGACCCCTGACATAATGAGGCAGAAGGGTGGAGAGAGAGAGCTACAAGAGAATGAGGAAGGCCGAGGAGAGAAAGAGAGGAAAAAAAACACATGAATGATATGGAGTCAGAAAACAGTATGCTTTGTGCCACATGATGCGTATGCACACTTTAATGCAGGATGCAGAGGGCAAGAGAAAAACAACAGAAATAAGATGAAGAAGAAAAATGCAAAAACCTGTTTTGAAGACATCTCCATACTGAGGATGGGAGTGGGAGCCTGCAAAAAGTGAAAGAAACAAACTAATAAGTATAAATTCCAGTTCCAGAGAAGTTAAAACTACACATGAGGCTTTTGGTTATCAGTTAAGAGAAACCCATGTATGTAGTAGAGTATGTATAACAATCAATCAATCAATCAAACTTCATTTATATAGCACCTTTTAGACAAATTAAATTGCAGTTCAAAGTGCTTTACAAGAGTGCAGAAAGTTATTGACAAAAAAAAGTAGTTTATAAAATCATTGAGAGACTAATGCACACCAATAAGAATTAAAAAAATGTGTATAAAAATGAAGAAAAAAAATAAATATGACACATAAAAGCAACAAGATATTAAAGTTAATACATAGGAGAAAAGAGGAATGATAAATGTTTCCCTTTCTCGACGAGTCAACTGTCCCACCAAAGACGGCTGGAGCAGTTTGGCATCATCAATCAACAGCAGCGCTGCAAGAAATGAAAAATGTGTTTGCGCTAAATGTTTGTGTTTGTGGAGTTGTGTTGTGCACAGAACCTGGAAGACTTGAAGTTCTTCCAGCACCACTTCTTCCGTCGACCAGTTCTCTTGCGTGATGCTCACCACCTTCAGGATGGAGCCAGCGTCTGTGATGAAGAGAGGAGGGAGAGACGGGAGAGCAGAGGATGAATCAGGCAAAGCAAACTAAATGTACTTTTAATTCAGAATTTAATCAACAACAAGCCATGTTTGAGTCACTTGTATTGTTTTTTTACACTTAATTACAATGAATGTTTTTGGTCTGTACACTCACACAGGGATCTGGTTATGCAAACTGGACTATACTAGATGAAATGTCTATTATCTAAAAAAATATCGTACAACATGGAGGTTAGAACTATAAAAACAGAAACAGTTGCTTCTGTGGAGTCCATAAATTCCTGTCAGAAGGCCTCTCCAAAGACAACATCCCATTTATATCACTGCCACTTACTAAAAAATAAACACAACGCTTACAACAAGCTTCAAAACCAGTTACCATTTTTTCCCACTCTTCATTTCTATATTTCTCTCTTCAGTCTTAATAGTTGAACAGGATCTAAAATATTTTGTCTGAGGCTGAGGACATCTCGTGGTGATCTAGTGCCCTCTGCTGACCAGAGAATGAAATGTCAAGTGTGGATATGGGAGGAGAGGTTTGTGTGTGTCCCACCTGTTCCCAGGAACATGACCTCATATTGTCCATCCTCTGCCATGACTCTGTCCACCACAATCTGAGTCAGGGTGTAGTCCACTCGGACCCGTGTGAACACAGGCCGTCCGGTCAGAGGGTGGACCGAGCGATACATGAGAGGGTGGAATCGAATGAAGCTGACCACCTCATCTGGGAAGTCTTTGGTGGTCTTGATCCTGGGGTCGTAGGTCTTACTGGGACACTGAAGGAGAAAAATAATATTGTGTAAACATGAACCAATTTCTTGATGTGTTCCATCCCTTATTGTGTTTAGTCACAGTTTTTCACCTCTAAATACTGACAAGTCGCTTTCAACAGTTTACAGGTGCATGTCTCCCTCTGGTGTTCAAATGAAGAACAGCAGGAGGCAGACCGCATCTGGAACATCTGTGTCATTCCTGCTTCCCTCTTGGTGTGAACTAAAGCTTAATCACTTTTAACACCTGAAGCATTCTTTGTATATGCGTGTCCTTTTCTTGATTGCGTTTTTTAAACAAATGAAAGAAGAGTCTGATTAACATTGAGTAACTTAATCAGAACCACAGTTACATCATCATGCAGCAGGAGTGCAGCTGTGAGTGCAGCAAAATCATTATTCTGCCTTTTAATCAAATCATGTCCATGTTTATTTTTTGTAATTAGCATGTAGGTTAAGGGGTTTATTTCATCAAATCATGTTTTTTGGTAAGAAGTTATCAAATAGGAGCTTTGTGTTCAACTCACTGTTCCAGGTCGCGGGTACGGTATCCTACCCTCGTATTCAACCCATCGGTGGTCGGGCCCTTCCTTGTGGGCGTACGGTCCGTTGAATGCAGCCCGTATGTCCATCATGCTGTACACACACACCGCTGACCCACGGAAAACAGAGCTAGAGGGGGCAAAGTAGAAAACAAGAGGACAGGTTAAGGCTCAGAGAAGGAAAATGGAGGAGGAACGATGACATGTTGCGATTAATGCTGAATTTTACCTTGAGGTGGTGAAGACGGCGTACACTTTAGGGTTTTTATCATCTCTGGTAGGGAGCAGAAAAACATCCTCTGAAAGAAAGAAGTGGAGGAACATGAAGTTTGTGTCTTTGTGCACTGAAAATACTTTTTGTTTTCCCGTTTAATCCAGAGGTCCTGAAATCTATTTTTCTGAAGCTTCAGAGAAAAAGTGATCCGTACCATTATGTATATATTTCATAAACTACATCATAGTCTTTCACTGATGGAGTCACTGGCTGGAGCCATTTCTTTGTTGTTGCCTTTCTGGCAGCAATGCTCAAGATTCCAAATAAGTATTTAGTTTTGTGGTTTGTGGATGAATGCAAGTTACCAATGAAGACTTGGACCCATTTGGGTATGTATCCTATATCTCCCCTAAACTCCCTTCTTTAGCTTAATCTGGTTTTACTTTAGTTATGAAACCCTGTATGCTTTGTTTTTGTATGTGCTGTGGAAAATCACCCCATGTCTTAAAATTTGTCTTTTTATTTGATTTGTTTGGTTCTATATCTATTTTTTTTTTTTTTTCTATTTGACTTATTTTGTACGACGGAGGATTAGGGCCACGTTAAAAAAAATTAATAATAATAATTTCGAGATTAAAGTCGTAAATTTACGAGAATAAATTTGTAAATTTACGACTTTATTCTCGTAAATTAACTTTAATTTAACTAAATTAACAAGACTTTAATCTCGAAATTAAAAAAATAAAAATGAACGTGGCCCTAATCCTCTGTCGTACTTTTGTTCTGTATAAATTTACAAAAATGTGAAAAGAGGAATCACTTTATTGTTTAACTACAAATGAACAATATGTACAAAAGTCGGTGAATGTGTGATTCTAAAAAAAAAAAAAAGAAAAGACTTTGTTGCACCTCCAGCTTTATTAAATATTAAGCAGAAACTACAGTTGTATATATTGACCTTTGCTACCACTGAGCCACTGCTGGTGCAATTAGAAGTTTAGTGTCTCTACTCAAAAAGTAGTTTCTGAAATATAAACTCACTTCATTGGAACTGGATTTTTAAGAACTTTCGATTCACACAGTCACTTACGGAGCTCGTTAAAGTGTGTGTCCACTCCATCTGGACCGGGGATGGAGCACACCAGTCTGGTTTTAAGGAAGGTGGTCCATTTATTGGTCAGACTCCTCAGCCCACCTACATCATTCTGTTTAACACAAAAACATACACTGTTACAAAAATACTCATTCTAACCATCGTGCAACAGTCCAATATGGCCGAAAGACAACCACAATAAATAAAACACTGCCGTGATCTGACTGTAATCCATCTAATAGACCTTCACAACACAAAGCACGGCGGCCTGACTCTGGTTTCCTGCACTCTTTAGGAAAACAAACAGGTGAAGCACATGTTTCCAGTAAGGATCTGCTTATTTAGCTGACACAAAGGAGCCCTTCTTGGTTAGAATAATGATGGTCGCAGTAGATGTAGAGGGAAAAAAAGAAAGAGAGAAAGGAGGAACGAGGTAGGGAGAAACATCAAAGGAAAGGAAAGGAGAAGCAAAAATGGAGCTGCAATGTTGGAAGCCAGCGCCAAACCCTGTTCTCTTAGCACATGAATCGCTGTTTGAGTAGCGTCCACTGATTGAGCTTTGGTGAGAGCGTTCAAGTGCTCCTCTTTGTGATGTTAGAAAACTTAAGAGAGCCTCCCTATTAAAGTTGGCCGGCGCACTAACTAAGTCATATGAAAAAAGATCGTTAAGGTTCAATACACACAATAGCACACTGTTGATCAAGAGACAAAAAAAAAGTAAGCACTTAATGAGGATGTTTCACAATGGTGATAATCTTCAAAAGAGGACTGAAGGAGAAGGACCCTGATTCATTTTACATGCAGAGTAATAACACACTCGGAAGATAATGAACGTGAGCGAGGGGAAAAATACAGAGACCAGAGGAGAGATAGCTGCAGGAGAAAGAGTAGAAGATTCTCCATCCAGTCTGCTTTACAGCTTACTCCCAAGTCATAAAGACGCTCAAGAGTTTGTCTCTAAGAATGTAGCAACAGGCCTCTGAATGCTAATAGGAGACTGCTGCTGCGTGGGATAGTCCTCTATTGGAACGACTGACCAGCACACACTGTGTTACATTCAACGTGTGGTGAAATGTAAGTTTCTGTCATGAACATTACATCCCTTCAAAGTGTCTTGAACGGTACTCCAATCAAATATTCTTTCTGAATCGACCTGCTATCAGAGACAGTGAGTAGGTTTACATGCAGTTAGAAACAGTCGATTTATTAGTCCGACTAACACCGGACTTTTCAAATGCATGTGATTGTCTACAGAGATTTTTAAAAGGAAACTCTCTTCACATTTAATCCACGAGGTCAAACTTTTGAATATATAAAATATATTTCTATTTTTTTCCATCAACTCACTCATTTCACTCCCTTTTTAATAGATTAATGCCTGTTTCATTTAGCTGATAGAGGGTTAACATTTTCAATCTTTCTATTGTATGTGTGTGTCTAAGTGAGTGTGTATGAATACGTGTATAGGTTACTGTATATGTGTTTATATTTATATATTCATATTTTGTTTTGAAATTGTGTAATTCGATTTGACTGAAATCATACAAAGTCAAATCTCCTGAAGTCGGAGAAACACACTTAGATAATGCATTATCATCAACACACTGTCAGAATCGACGACATTATCAATGGAGCTTTATCTTAAATATACAGTAACCAATTTGAGTCTCACACGTGTCCATCCCCTTCTTCCTTCGTTATTTTTTCCAACCATCTTTCACACCCCGGCCTCCCCTCCATTCCTCTGTATACCTCCCACTTTCACCACCTCTCTCGTGTGATATCTTACCTTGCACACACGAGCCACTCGGGACACGATGCTCTTGTCGTTGCCTTCCCAAGACACCTCCCGGAAGAAGAAGTATATCTTATCATCGTCTGGATTGTAGGTGTCTGCGATGGGGTGAGCAGCTATAAACCTGGCCTCTGAAGACACATAGAGAGCACAACAAAAAAAAAAGAGAGGGAGGCGTTAAAATGAGTACATTAATGGCTTTTCCATTTGCTGAAGCCTTGGTGTGTCAAGAACATTGGTGTCAGCACTTGTTTGGTTACGGTTTCACTCTATTACTAAAGAGAAATAAAAACCATCACCATTACCAAACCTTCCTTGCTTTAAGCGGGATTGGTTCTCTCTTTTGGCCACTTAGGGCAGCAGAAAGAGCCGTAAACACAACTCTGACATTCCACAATATAGCTAAATAAAACATGAACGCAATGCTCAATAAATCTGGACTCTTCTTCTTGCTCTGTGAACACTACCATAAAATGAATATATGTTGCTGCATTATGCATTATCATGTTAACCAGCTAGTTGCTTCTGTCCTGCATACATCAGCGGCCTGCTGCGGCCAGAACTGAACAAAAACACTAAAGTTACCATTAAAGTAAGGCTGCTGTGGAGCTGAAATGCTATTATTTTATAGGAAAACAATGACTTTTGAAGTTTTACAAAAGGCTGGCTCTACACTGGCTTCTCGTTACAACATGTAACATTCTATAATCTATCCAGTCTCCATTTTTTTTTTTTTTTTTTTAATCTCCTTAGAAGACAATCCATAGCTGTTAAATGACCAGTGAATACATGACGAGGAGTTAACAGCACAATATGTTTTAGAGTAGGTGTTAGTTTTATTTGTACCACTACTATAAAAGACTGGACAAAATCAGGAAAGTATTTGGTAGCTGACAAGCTAAAATGCTCAATTGCAATGCAAAACTTCTAAATAAAAAAAATTGATTTTTGAAGCTTTAAAAGTAAGTCTTCAAGCAGCTGCAAATGCCTGGATTATTTTTGTTCACTAACTGTATGTGGATAAATGTATGTATATGTGTAAATGCAGACAGTACATTATGCTATCATTGTTGTTAAAAGCTTTGCGGTGGGGTGGGACTGAGGGTGGTTTTGGGTGGTGGATCGGGGAGATAAGAGGGTTAGTATTATGTACATCATGCAGCAATTTGTACTGTTCAAGTTAAAAACTCAATAAAAATAAATAAAAATAACTTCAACAATGAAGTTTGTAACAATATGTTACACTATAATCGATCCAGTCTCTGTATTTAAAATCTTAATCTGCAAAATATTTCATAGATCTTAAATGACTGGTAAACACATGGTGTAGTAAATAAAAAGTGACTTATGCTGCAGTAATTGAGACATCAGAAAAGCAATTTCTTAATTTAAAAAATAAACCGTTCATAATGTAAAACAGAAAAAGGAATGCATAGCATGTTATCATCAGTGTTCTGGCACAGGAGGAGGGAGGCTCCAAAGTCTTGCAGTGACATTACATCAACATTAGCTCAACCCTGACAAGCGGAGCCAACCACCAGAGAGTCATTCCCCGACTGGAACAACTTAGTGTACGACTGCTAACACTTTGGATAGTAGGTCATTGTTAGCGGGATGTTCCATGGGCTCACATGGAACAGAAACACTGTAACAAATTATTCACTGTTTCTTTCTGCACGC